AGAAATATTGATGTTACAATTAAACTCCGCTTTTAAAAACTCATCACAATTGAGATCGGGCGGGCGGGTGGGGCTTAAATTTTGTTTTTTTTTTTCCTTAATATATAGAATTCTCTTTCAACAACAGGTTAGGTAAACATGTTTTTAGTTTCTTGTTGATCAACGAAGACTTCATATATTAAGAAAAACCGGACCAAATATATGCCCCGCCCACCCACCCCTTCTCAATTGTTATAAATGCTTTATTCACCGTGAGCTGAAGGGCGAAGTTTAGCTGCAAATTCCTCATGTTTCTACAAGAAATTACCATATGAAATATGTTTTTAAAAGGGTAGATTTTTTTAGAGAAATATTGATGTCACAATTAAACTCCGCCTTTAAAAACTCATCACAATTGAGATCGGGTGGGTGGGTGGGGCTTAAATTTTGTTTTTTTTTCTTAATATATAGAATTCTCTTTCAACAACAGGTTAGGTAAACATGTTTTCAGTTTCTTGTTGCAAAAAGAAAACTTCGTATATTAAGAAAAACAGGACAAAATATAAGCCCCGCCCACCCACCCCTTCTCAATTGTGATCAATATTTTATTCATCGTGAGCTGAAGGGCGGAGTTTAGCTGCAAATTCCGCATGTCTCTACAAGAAATTACCATATAAAATATGTTTTTAAAAAGGTAGAATTTGTTAGACAAATATTGATGTCACAATTAAACTCCGCCTTTAAAAATTCATCACAATTGAGATCGGGCGGGTGGGTGGGGCTTAATTTTTTTTTTGTTTTTTAACATATAGAGTTTTCTTTCAATAACAGGATAGTTAAACATGTTGTCAGTTTCTTGTTGGCCAAAGAACACTTCGTATATTAAGATAAAACGGACAAAATTTAAGCCCCGCCCACCCACCCCTTCTGATCAATATTTTATTCATCGTGAGCTGAAGGGCGGAGTTTAGCTGCAAATTCCTCATGTTTCTACAAGAAATTACCATATGAAATGTTTTTAAAAAGGTAGAATTTTTTAAAGAAATATTGATGTCACAATTAAACTCCGCCTTTAAAAACTCATCACAATTGAGATCGGGCGGGTGGGTGGGGCTTAAATTTTGTTTTTTTTTTCTTAATATATAGAATTCTCTTTCAACAACAGGTTAGGAAACATGTTTTCATTTTCTTGTTGGAAAAAGAAAACTTCGTATATTATGAAAAAACAGGACAAAATATAAGCCCCGCTCACCCACTCCTTCTCAACTGTGATCAATATTTTATTCATCGTGAGCTGAAGGGCGGAGTTCAGCTGCAAATTCCGCATGTCTCGACAAGAAATTACCATATGAGATATGTTTTTAAAAAGGTAGAATTTTTTAGAGAAATGTTGATGTTACAATTAAACTCCGCCTTTAAAAACTCATCACAATTGAGATCGGGCGGGTGGGTGGGGCTTAACTTTTGTTTGTTTTTCTTAAATATATAGAATTCTCTTTCAACAACAGGTTAGGTAAACATGTTTTCAGTTTCTTGTTGGGAAAAGAAGACTTCGTATATTAAGAAAAACCGGACCAAATATATGCCCCGCCCACCCACCCCTTCTCAATTCTGATTAATATTTTATTCCTTGTGAGCTGAAGGGCGGAGTTTAGTAGCAAATTCCTCATTTCTCTACAAGAAATTACCATATGAAATATGTTTTTAAAAAGGTAGAATTTTTTAGAGAAATATTGATGTTATAATTAAACTCCGCCTTTAATAAACTCGTCACAATTGAGATCGGGTGGGTGGGTGGGGCTTAACTTTGTTTTTTTTTTTTAATATATAGAATTCTCTTTCAACAACAGGAAAGTTAAACATGTTTTCAGTTTCTTGTTGGGAAAAGAAGATTTTTTATGTTAACAAAAAATGGACAAAATATATGCCCCGCCCACCCGCCCCTTCTCAATTGTGATAAATATTTTATTCATCGTGAGCTGAAGGGCGGAGTTTAGCTGCAAATTCCTCATGTCTCGACAAGAAATTACCATATGAGATATGTTTTTAAAAAGGTAAAATTTTTTAGAGAAATGTTGATGTTACAATTAAACTCTGCCTTTAAAAACTCATCACAATTGAGATGGGGGCGGGTGGGTGGGGCTTAATTTTAGTGTTTTTTTTAAATCTATAGTGTTCTTTCAACAACAGGATATTTAAACATATTCTCAGTTTCTTGTTGGGAAAAGAAGACTTCGTTTATTAAGAAAAATTGGACAAAATATAAGCCCCGCCCACCCACCCCTTCTCAATTCTGATGAATATTTCAAATTCCTCTTTTCCACAAGAAATTACCAAATGAAATATGCTTTTAAAAAGGTAGAATTTTTTAGAGAAATGTTGATGTTACAATTAAACTTCGCCCCTCGTCTGATTAGGAATGAAAAACTCATCATAATTGAGATCGGGGCGGGAGGGTGGGGCTTAATCTTTGTTTTTTTTTCTTTATATACATAGTTTTTTTTTCAACAATTTTTTGCGGCAATTATTCTATAATTTTTGGACTGTACTCACGTAGAATAACTTGTACTTTCTCGTTTTTCTCGAAAAATTTAAAAATTGAAAACTCCTGAAATTTCAAATCGAAAAATTGCAAAATCTAAAAATTGAAACGGCCAAAAGTTGGAAAATCCGAAAACTGGAAATTAAAAAAAAAAACGTGAAGAGGTATCGTAAAATTAAAGAAAAAAAAAACGAAAAATTGATAAATTGCAAATTGAAAAATTGACGAAACGAAAAATTGAAAAAAGTGACAGTGAAAAAACAATAAATCATAAAATCGGAACATTGAAAACTTGTAAAAATAAAGAAAATAAAAAGCTGAAACGAAAAATTGCAAATGAAAAAATTAAAAATTCAAACCTCGAGAAACTCAAATCGAAAAATTGCAAAATCTAGAACTTGAATTGAAAAATTAAATTTAAACTTCAAAACTCGAAAAAATGAAGGAACAAGAATGAAAAATTGAAGCAAAAATTCAAGTCAAATAAGCTGCGGGAATGTTATTTACGCCACTGATTTTTACTTTATAGAGGCTATTAGAAAACAAACATGGCAAAAAAATAGATAATTTTTTGGAGAAGTGGGATTTATTTGGCTAGACTTCGGGGGCGAGGGAAGTTCTGTTGAAATAACCTTCGACCAATGTTTTCTTAAATACCGATGCGACGTTGCTATGTTATTCCCAAAGGTATTTTTTTTTATTATTACAATTTTCAAATATCGATGTTGCAGTTTCTTTAAATAGAACACCCTATATTTTACTATTATTTTTTGTTCTCTTTCTTTTCTGGTACATTTAAAGTTGATTGATAACATTGATATTAGTAAAACCTTCTCGGAGGTCCTAACTGTCTTTTTTAAAAATGTAAAGCCTTCTCGGGGGTCTCAAATGTCTTTTTTAAAAATGTAAAACCTTCTCGGGGGCCTCAAATGTCTTTTTTTTTCAATGTGAAACTTTCTCGGGGGTCCCAACTGTCTTTTTTAAAAATGTAAAACCTTCTCGGGGGTCTCACATGTCTTTTTTTTCAATGTAAAACCTTCTCGAAGGCCCCAAATGTCTTTTTTTAAATGTGAAACCTTCTCGGAGGTCCCAACTGTCTTCATTAAAAATGAAAAACCTTCTCGGGGGTCCCAACTGTCTTTTTTAAAAATGTAAAACCTTCTCGGGGGTCCCAACTGTCTTTAGTAAAAATGTAAAACCTTCTCGAAGGCCCCAAATGTCTTTATTAAAAATGAAAAACCTTCTCGGGGGTCCCAACTGCCTTTATTAAAAATGTAAAACCTTCTCGGGGGTCTCACATGTCTTTTTTTTCAATGTAAAACCTTCTCGAAGGCCCCAAATGTCTTTTTTTAAATGTGAAACCTTCTCGGAGGTCCCAACTGTCTTCATTAAAAATGAAAAACCTTCTCGGGGGTCCCAACTGTCTTTTTTAAAAATGTAAAACCTTCTCGGGGGTCCCAACTGTCTTTAGTAAAAATGTAAAACCTTCTCGAAGGCCCCAAATGTCTTTATTAAAAATGAAAAACCTTCTCGGGGGTCCCAACTGCCTTTATTAAAAATGTAAAACCTTCCCGGGTGTCCCAACTGTATTTATTGAAAATGTAAAACCTTCTCGGGGGTCCCACCTATCTTTATTAAAAATGTGAAACTTTCTCGGGAGCCCCAAATGTCTTTTTTTTAATGTGAAAGTTTCGGGTGAGTCCTAACTGTCTTTAGTAAAAATGCAAAACCTGGGGGGCTCCAAATGTCTTTTTTTTAAAGTGACCCTTTTACCCAAAAGTAAGTCGGGTTGGATTATCTTTCTTTATAGTACCGGAAACATTAAATGACCAAAAATAGGCTAATAGACATAACTAAGTAGGGCTCAAATAAACATTTCATGTATTTGCCTACAACCTAAATGAACGGCATTTGCCCTAGAATCCGCTTTTTACTTATCAGTCTTATCACTAACAAAATCTATGGCTGCGTTAAACCGTTGGTGATTTTGCGGCCCACATGTGTCGTTATGTACATATGTTAATGTTTTCCATAGCACATTATGCTTCTATAAAAAATTTAACCCCTCTGAAACACCGAAACCTCGACTTTTTACCTGCTCCACACTAAACCGCCGCTTTTTTCTGGCTTCGCTGCTAAACCATCCACATGCTTTATTATTCTCCCGCAAGGTCGAGGTGAAGATATTCGAACCTCTCCTACACTAGATAATCTCCTCGTCTCGCTCTTTATCTGCTTAGCATGTCAATAACCGCTCAATGTTTAAACAATTCCCTTTAGTGCTTATAAACTAGACGCAAATTGCGCAACATGTGACGGACGAATGTCTCTTAGAAAAATTTCCGTGTGAGTGTTGTTGTGTGATCGATAGCAGCGACCTATTTTCTTCGTTTGAGAAGGAAATTTTTATCCCCTCTAACGCACAGTAGTCGGCATGCACTAGTCTAACCCCTTACTAACTAACTTTTTTTCTTTTCAGACACTTGGTTCAATCCAGAAAGACTGAATCCCAAAGGTAATGCTAGTATTTAGTGTGACCTTATCGGTTTCGGCTCGAATTTCAAAGCGGCACGTGATAATTCGAGGTCATTTCGTTGACTCAACCGAGCGCGAATTACCGATAAGCGGACTTGGGGAACTTACCTACCGTAATCTGCATAATTCTGCAGCGCTGCAACCCACAATACGGCGGTGCGAACGTGACTGCGGGCAGGGACGGCTCGTGCGCGTGAAGTAAGGGGGCGCAATTAAGATTGAAATTATCGTAATTAATTGGCAGTTATCGATATTTTCGGGTTCTAGTGTTGCGAAGTTTATTTTTACTTTGGAAGAGTTGTTGAGTCACGACTTTGACCCTCACATTTTATTCTTTATGATTATGAATTAATGAATCTGCGGTGTGATCACCTGTGACAAAGTGCATTGGGATGGAATTTTAATGGGCGATTAATAAGTACCATGCGAAGGACTGAACAGGTCGATATGTTTGAACTGTGGTCGTGTGTGACGAAATTGGCTAATTTTGTTATTCCTTTTATAGCTTTCGTAATTTAAAAAATAAATAAGTCGTGTTTCTAGAAGTTTCTTCTAATAACATAAGCGGCAACATGACACGAATTTTTAGTGGAAAAAGTTAGGTTAACTTGCTTGTTTTGTGATATCTGTAAAACTGAGACCTTTTGACTTTCTGCTAGCAACGCCACTGAAGATAAATTACTAGATGTAGAGGAAAAATTTTGTGTTGCCAACACAAAATAAGTGGTGGACTTGAAAAAAAAACCTATTTTAATACTGAGATCCTACTGATGATGCTAATGAGTTCATTCGAAACATTGTTTGACGGTGAGATTTTCTCATTTTTCCCCTCTTTTTTTTCCTCTCACTTTGGTCTCTGTTTTCTCTCTTCCCTCTCTTCTCTTTCCTGTCGACATATTACTTTTCTTTTTGTCTTCACTCCATTTTTGGCATTTTCATTTTCCTTGTCTAGTTTTTTTTCTCTTCTCTTACCTTTCTCTCTCACCTCTTTTTTTTCTTCTCTTCTCCTCTCTTTCTTTTCTTTGCCACTTTTCTCTTTCTCCTCTCTTTTCTCATTGCTTTCCCCCTTTCTTCCTCTCCTCTCTCTATTTTCTCCACCCTTTTTCTCTCACACTTCTCATTTTTCTCTGTTCTATTTCTTCTCTCTATTTTTTCCATGTTCTTTTTTCCCTGTTCTTCCTTTCTCTCTTACCTATCTCTCTTTTCTATTTGTTCTCTCTGCGTTCTCCTTTCTTTCTCCTTTCTCTCTGTCCCCCTCTTTTCTCCCCCTTCTCTCTCTTTTCTTCCGGTGATTTTTTTTTCTTCCTCTTTTGTCTGTATTTTCTCTGTTCTTTTTACCCTGTTCTCCCTCTTTTTTTCTTCTCTCCCTTTCTCGTTCACTTTCCTTTTTTTCGTCTTTACTGTCTTTTCTCTATCTCTCTATCTTTTTGCTCTCACTCCTTTTTTCCTCCCCTTCATTTTTTTCGTCTTCCATTCCCTATTTGCTTTCTCTTCTCTCTCTTTTCTTTCTCACCTCTCTATTTTCTCACTGTTCTATTTTCCCTGTCACCTCTCTTTTCTCTTTTATTTCTCTTCTTCACCACTTCTCTCTCTCTCACCTCTCTTTTCTTTTTTCTCTCTTTTCATCCCTTTCTCAATACCAATAAATATTAAAACCCTCCCACTTCTCTTTTCTTTCTGTTCTCTCTCTCTTCTCGTTGTTCTCTTCTATCTCTCCTCTACCTTTTCTTTCCTTCCTCTCCATTTTCTTTCTCTCTTCGCCCATTTCTTTCTTTCCTCTCTTTGCTTTGTCTTCTCTCTGTTTTCTTTTTCTCCTTTATCTTATCTTTGTCTCATTCACTTTTTTCTCTTTTTCTCTCTCCCTTTCTATCTTCTCGCTTATTCTCCTTTCATCATAGTTCTCTCTATATTCTCCCTTTCTCTCTCTCTCTCTTTTTCTTCTCCTTCTCTGTTTACTTCTCAAAACACGAAAATCCCCAAATTCTCAAATCCCCAAATCCTCAAAAGATCAAAATACCCAAATCCTCAAAACATCAAAATCCCCAAATCCCCAAAACAGGAAAATCTCCAAATCCTCAATACACTAAAATCTTCAAATCCTGAAAACATTAAAATCCCCAAATCCTCGAAGACTCGAAAATCCTCAAATTCTCAAAATACCAAAATCCTCGTCCTCAAAACACCAAATTCTCCAAATCCTCAAAACTCCAAAATCCTCAAATCCTCAAAACACAAAAATTCTCAAAACACTAAAATCCCCAAATCATCAAAACACCAAAATTCCCAAATCCTCAAAACACGAAAAATCTCCAAATCATCAATACACTAAAATCTTCAAATCCTCAAAATCCTCAAATCCTCAAAATCCTCAAATCCTCAAAATTCCAAAATCCCCAAATCCTCAATACACCAAAATCTCCAAATCCCCAAAACACGAAAATCCCCAAATCCTCAAAATTCCAAAATCCCCAAATCCTCAATACACCAAAATCTCCAAATCCTCAAAACACGAAAAATCCCCAAATCCTCAAGACACGATAATCCTCGAATTCTCAATACATCAAAATATTCATCCTCAAAACACCAAATTGTCCAAATCCCCAAAACTCCAAAATCCTTAAATCCTCAAAACACTAAAATCCCCAAATCATCAAAACACCAAAATTCCCAGATCCTCAAAACACAAAAATCTCCAAATCCCCAATACAATAAAATCTTCAACTCCTCAAAACATCAAAATCCCCAACTCCTCAAGACATGAAAATCCTCAAAACACCAAAATCCCCAAATCCTCAAAATACCAAAATCCACAAATCCTTAAAACACCAAAATCTCGAAATTCTCAAAACACGAAAAATCTCCAAATCCTCAATACACTAAAATCTTCAAATTCTCAAAATGTCCAAAATCCTCAAAATTCCAAAAGCCCCAAATCCTCAAAACGCCAAAATCTCCAAACCTCAAAACCAAAATCTCCAAATCCTCAATACACTAAAATCCTCAAATCCTCAAAACATCAAAATACTCAAATCCTCAAGACACGAAAATCCTCAAATTCTCAAAACACTACAATTTCGAAATCCTTCCAAATCCTCAAAACACCAAAATCCCCAAATCCTCAAGACACGAAAATCCCCAAATCTTCAAAACACGAAAATCTGAAGATTTTAGTGTGTTGAGGATTTCAACATACTAAAATCTTCAAATCCTGAAAACATCAAAATCCCCAAATCCTCACGACAAGAAAATCTCAAAACATTAAAATCCTCATCCTCACGACAAGAAAATCTCAAAACACTAAAATTCTCAAAATACCAAAATCCTCATCCTCAAAACACCAAATTCTCCAAATCCTCAAAACTCCAAAATCCTCAAATCCTCAAAACACCAAAATTCTCAAAACACTAAAATCCCCAAATCATCAAAACACCAAAATCCCCAAATCCTCAAAACACAAAAATCTCCAAATCCTCGATACACTAAAATCTTCAAAACATCAAAGTCCCCAAATCCTTAAGACATGAAAATCCTCAAAACACCAAAATCTTCAAATCTTCAAAACATCAAAATCCCCAAATTCTCATAACACCAAAATCCCCAGATCCTCAAAACTCCAAAATCCCTAAATCCTCCAAACACCAAAATCACTCTCTTCCCGCTCTTTTCTCTCTCTATCTTCTCTTTTCTCTTCTCTCTTTTCTCTCTTTTTTCTTCTCTCTTTTCTCTTCTCTCTTTTCTCTTCTCTCTTTTCTCTTCTGTCTCACCTCTCTCTCTTCTCTATTTCTTCTCTTTCTCTATTACTCTCTTCTCTTTTTTCTCTCCCCAAATAATCAAAACACAAAATCTCCAATTCCTCAACACACTAAAATCTTCAAATCCTCAAAACATCAAAATACTCAAATCCTCAAGACACGAAAATCCTCAAATTCTCAAAACACTACAATTTCGAAATCCTTCCAAATCCTCAAAACACCAAAATCCCCAAATCTTCAAGACACTAAAATCCCCAAATCTTCAAAACACGAAAATCTCCAAATCCTCAACACACTAAAATCTTCAAATCCTGAAAACATCAAAATCCCCAAATCCTCACGACAAGAAAATCTCAAAACATTAAAATCCTCATCCTCAAAACACCAAATTGCCCAATTCCTCAAAACTCCAAAACCCCCAAATCCTCAAAACACCAAAATCCCCAAATCCTCAAAACACGAAAATCTCCAAATCCTCAATACACTAAAATTTTTAAAACACCAAAAATCCCCAAATCATCAAAACACCAAAATCCCCAAATCCTCAAAAAAAAAATCTCCAAATCCTCGATACACTAAAATCTTCAAAACATCAAAATCCCCAAATCCTCAAGACATGAAAATCCTCAAAACACCAAAATCTTCAAATCTTCAAAACATCAAAATCCCCAAATTCTCATAACACCAAAATCCCCAAATCCTCAAAACTCCAAAATCCCTAAGTCCTCCAAACACCAAAATCCCTCTCTTCCCGCTCTTCTCTCTCTCTATCTTCTCTTTTATCTTCTCTCTTTTCTCTTCTGTCTCATCTCTCTCTCTTCTCTATTTCTTCTCTTTCTCTATTACCCTCTTCTCTTTTTTCTCTCCCCAAATAATCAAAACACGAAAATCTCCAAATCCTCAGCACACTAAAATCTTCAAATCCTCAAAACATCAAAATACTCAAATCCTCAACACACGAAAATCCTCAAATTCTCAAAACAGTACAATTTCCAAATCCTTCCAAATCCTCAAAACACCAAAATCCCCAAATCCACAAGACACGAAAATCCCCAAATTTTCAAAACACGAAAATCTCCAAATCCTCAACACACTAAAATCTTGAAATCCTGAAAACATCAAAATCCCCAAATCCTCACGACAAGAAAATCTTAAAACATTAAAATCCTCATCCTCAAAACACCAAATTGCCCAATTCCTCAAAACTCCAAAACCCCCAAATCCTCAA